TCTTGGTCCAGGTATAGATTTCTCAGAAGTGTCAATAAGAAAATATCGGCAGGAGCAGTAGCTCTCAGCATGGTATTTTGTTGTCACTTTGTGTTAGTTATTAGAGTCTTTATTATATTCTTTCCCGGTATTTATGGGTTCATGAAAAGATTAAATTGCAATTTCTAATTATAGTCATTTCTATTAATTACACTGTCTTTAAATAATCTCTGGTTGGTAGGTTTCCTCTCTGTTGAAGAACTGTTTAGTCTTTAGTTATCAAAGGGCATAAGACTACTTTATGGATGCTTTCTTTAGGCACTAAGGTTTTAAATGTATAACAGTATTATGATTCATTTATTGAAGAGACATGTTTGATGCTTTTAGTCATCAAATCACTAGTGTTTGGTGAGTGCCTAATAATTGTGTCTACATTTATTTGTTCTATACTTGTTTCATTCCCCCTCCCCCCGATTACTATTTTCCATTTCATGACGTCTTCTGGTATATTTGAATGTATTACATTTATATTCGCAGATAGCCTCAGGAGATAATGTTTTTATCATGAAACAACACTATTCACAACTTTCATGAAACTAAAAAACGTAGTTGATCAATAAATCCTGAAATTCTATACACAGATGATGAAGATTTTAAAAGACTATCATTTTCCACATAGACAAAAGAATTAATTTTATCCTTATTGACCAACAAATGATAGTGTGCCAAACTCAGAACATGAATCAGAATCTATTTCCTTTTAGACGCCTGGGTTCTTAGCCAAATCAAACTTGTGATGGAATTAAGTTTTTATATGGGGGTGCTTGAAATAACAGAATAATAGATATGTTCTTGTTCTCTGTCTTCTATCACATGCTTTCAGATTTTCCTATGGATTCCAGTAATGGAAACTGTCGAGGGGCAAACAGTGGTGAGTATATCATTATCTTCCTGATTTTTGCTTTGGGTTAAATTAGATTTTGATATAACCTAGCTCCTTTAGTCTTATTTGGGGACATTTATAACCTACATTTTAAGGTAAACTTAAATGAATATTTATTTATATTAATTTTATTAATTAACATATAGTAATGACCTTTTCTTTTGCTGTACAGTTTTATGAATTTGAGCACATGTATAGATTTATGTAACCATTATCATTTGTTTACTCATTTGCCACTTGCTCATCCGTTTTACCACTATGGACACTTGGAATGTTTTCAATTCTGGGTAGTCTTGAAGAGTGCACTGTAAACTTTTTTTCTGACAAACAACAACATTATGTTTTAAGTAAATTCTTATACATTGTATAGTTGAGCCATGCTTTATTATTTTTGCTGTTGCTTTGTATTCATTCTACCAATTAATTTTTTTTCCTTTGGATTGGTGTTGTGCCCAGTTACACTGAAGGAAATTATTGGAATGTTTGTAATTAAAGCTACATTTATTTGTTCTATGCTTGTTTCATTCCCCCCCCCACCCCATTACTATTTCTCGTTTCATGACTTCTTCTAGTATATTTGAATGTATTACATTTGTATCCGCAGATAGCCTCAGGAGATAATGTTTTACTCTTTTTTTCTTTTAACTATCACATATGTTCTAAATAACTGAAGAGGAGAAAAATAGCCTATTATGAAGGGGATTCAAAATGTTAGTGGAAGTTTCCATTATCTTTTCATTCTTTTTGTCCATCTTTTTTTGAAGCTCTCTTATATATTTACCCAGATGTTTATCATTTTCATTTTTCTTTATTCATTCCAAATGATCTGGTATCATTTTCCTTCTGTCTGAAGAACTTCTTTTTGCATTTCTTTTAGACAAGTTCCTTTGGAACAAATTCTCTGTTTCCTCCATCTGGAAATGTCTCCATTATATCTAAGTCCTAAAGGATATTTTCTCTGGATATATAATTGGGTTAACAATTCATTCAGTATATTACAATGTTGTGCTTACTTTTGGCTTCCATGGTTTCTAATGTAAAATCTTCAGTCATCCAAATCTTTGTTTTCCTGTATGTATTGTTTCTGTTTTCGCTGGTTGTTTTCAAAAAATTTCTTTTAGTTTTTAGCAGTTAGATTGTGATGTGTCTGGGGATTTAGTTCTTTGGATTTCTTATGTTATGGTTATCCGTGCTTTTTGAGTCTATAAATTTATATCTTTGCCAAATTTTGGAAACTTTCCGGCATTGTTTCTTCAAACATTTATTTTTGTAGCCCACTCTTTCTCTTGAACTTCTAGGACTACGATGATATCTACATGACATCTTTTGATATTGTCCCATAGGTCTTAAGAACCTGTGTTCATTTTTCCTCTTCAAATGTTTATTTCTCTCTCTTATTTTTATTAGATCATTTTTTTCCAATCTGTTTTCAAGTTCATTATTCAATTAAGTTCAAGTTCATTGATGATTTTCTCATCTCCATTCTGCTCTTAAGTCTATCCAGTGACTTTTAAATTTTAGTTAGTATATGTTTCCATTTCAAATTTTCCATTTGGTTCTTTATATCTTCTGGTTTTTCATTGAGACTTTCAAAGGTTTATATCCTTACTTGATGGAGCATTTTAATAGTAGCAGCTATAAATCACTATCAGATAATTTTAACATCTGAATCATTTAACTATCTTTTCATATATAAGTCCACATTTTCCTAGTTCTTCATATGTTGAGTAATTTTGGATATTATAAATATTTCATTTTGAATATTATAAGACTTTGAATCCTATTGAAAATCCTATGAAGACTATTGATATTTTTGTTTTAGCAAGAATCAACACAGGAGGATTGGAGCTACAGATTCTGACCAACCTCTGTGGGTTATTGTTTTAATATCAATTTCATTTCCAAAGCCTTTGCAGATATATACATGTGTGCACCACCCAGTGGCCAATATGGGACCAGAGCAACGGTCTGTTCTGCTGTTCAGTTTTCAAAATCTATGGTATACTGTTCAGTGTCAGATCCACACATGCCCAACTCAGGCATGATGCCAGCAGTTCATAGACAACTATGGAATTGCTTCTCCAAGCTTCTCTCTTTGTAAACTCTCTGGTACTTTTCCGTTTCCTGGGATTCTGCTTTTAGGTTTTTTGACCCCAAAGCTGGGACTTTGTTTATTGTACTCTGTCATGCATTCCCTATAATTGCTCCTTGGTGTCAGTCCAAGTGGAAGGAGGACACATGGAGAGAAAATGCAGTGGGATTTTCCCCTACTCTCCTGATTCCTCAGTCCTGAGGGCTTCACTTGCTTCTACTTTTGCTGCTGCTTTTGGAAAAGAAGGAAGTGCTAGAGACTACTTTTCACACTTTTTGAGTCAGAACTAGAGGGTTTCTCCAGGCGACTCTGTTTCCCTGGATGCCCATTCCCAGGTTATGTTGAGTCCAGGCTGGGAATCCCAGAGGTGGAAAATGGTAGACTCACCACTATCGTCAGTTTGATGATTCTGTTCTTCCCTAGTCTGCCTGTTAATATTTACCTTCTGCAGTCCTTGAGGGGCTGTTTCATTAATTCTTCTCAGCTTTTCTAGCTGTATTCAGTGGGAGAGACTCGATTGTTGTTGCTGTTGTTCAGTGCTGTCAAGTTAGTTCTGACACACAGAGACCCTGTGTAGGATTTCCTGCTTATTCCATCTTAACATACAAACTTAAAAAAAAATGGTTTATGAATTTATTTTGTGGGGGGAAATCACCTAATAATAGTAACTTTAATTTGCCATATTTACCATCATTAGGGTTTATTGGTTTTGAAGTACAGGTTCCCTAAATTCAGGGTATAATGCCAAAATCTTTGTTTTTAAACTACTTTCTCTCAAACTCTTCTGTGTCTTATCACTAAATGGAAATATACATTTAAAAAATTCGAAGATGTGCATCCATGACAAATCCTCAGTTTAGACAATGTTAGGAGCTACTTGTGTCTGATAAAGAAAGTACATGCATACTTAGTCCTGCTTGACTTAATCAGGACATTCATGTAGTAACACAGAACAAATCAGTCAAATCAAGACAGTGGTTTGTATTGAGCCTTTTAGACTATAACATGAGATAAAACAAAAATCAAATCTGTTGAATGATATTTTACAGTTGTAGTAAAATATTTTAGACTTCAAGGATTTATAATGAAATTACATTCCTCAAAGTTGAGCATCAAGTAAACAGGATTTACTGAAACTCCTTGAATTTACTAGTTGATTCCTCCCTCAAACACAAAAGTAACCAGTTCTAATTAGTTACATAAATTTCTTCAAGTTCAAACCGACCTTGTCTTTAGACTTTGCTTGAACTATTGCCATTTCAATCAATATCCACTAATTCTGTTTCAACAATGAGTTTTGCATTTGGTGGAATTGTGGCATCAGGCTCTCCTTTCTTTCCATAAGCCCATTCTGGTTTAATCTCTAGTCGAGCCTTGTCTCCCTTACACATAGCCAAGAGTGCTTCATCCCAACCTCTGATGACTTTGCCAACTCCAACCTTTAAACTTAAGGGTTTGGCAATTTTCTTCTTCTTGGAACCTGTTTGAATATTAGTATCAAAAACAGTTCCGTGCTGAAGTATTCCTGTGTACCAACAGTGAAAAACATCTCCCTTTTTGGGAAAGTTGGTTTTGTCTCCCTTTTTAAGAACAGATTTTGTATATTTTGGTGAACACTCTTCAAGAGCCTCTTCAGACTTAGTTTCTTTAGGTTTGTCATCATTAATCTTCACATTTTTCACCTGCTCTGACACCTTACTTATACTTCCAGTACCTTTGAAATGCTTAGTTTCAAAAAGATGGTTATAGGCTGTAACCAAATGGTCCATGTTAGCTGTTTTGGTCACATTTTTAATATTTCCTAGTAGCTTATGTTCTGCAAGAAACGAGTCTGAACTGTGTTCCTGCAGACACTTGATAATGTCCTTCTGGGGCAGCTGTTCGCTGCACAGTTGTTCCACAGTCCACGCCCAATGTGGAACGTTCACCGCCATCTTCCCCCACTGCCTCAGCTCTACTCTTAATATACAAGCTTTTAAATGAACTCTGACAGGCATGCACAAAGTGCACAATCATAAATATACAGCTGAATGTATTTTCAAAAGTAGCCACTCTCATGTAACCACAACACATATTGAAATATATACCATTATCAGTACTCCAGAAGCCTCCCTTGTACTTCAAGTCCTTTCCCCCAAAGATGACTACTAACAGGCATTTTCATATCTATAGATTAATTTTATCTGACATCAACTTTATATCGATGGAAAACTACAATGTTGTGTATGCGTGTTTATATGGCTTTTTTGTTCTTTATTATGCTGTATATAGTTTTTCATTCTCATTGCTATATTCTAATATATGAAGACACTACATTTACTCAGTCTAATAATGTTCATGGATATTTGGATTGCTTCTAGTTTTGATACTACATTTGTTTTTATAAAGATGTCATTATGGTGGTGGTTGTGTGCTGTGGAGTCAGTTCAAGGATGTTACTATAAGTACAATTAATTACTATGGACTTGTATTTCATTTTCTTTTAGTAATTTCCACTGATTTGGGCCACTTGTTGTTGTTTTGTGCTGTTGAGTTGGTTCCAACTCATAGTAACCCTGGATAGGGTTCCGAGGAGCAGCTGGGGAGCTTGAACCACGGATCTTTCAGTTCAAACCGACTTTGCTGTTCAGCACATTAATCTGCAGCACCACACCAGGATTCCCCAGTATGGCCTGATTTTTCTAGGTGTCTTATATGCAGAAGCTGAACATTTATGATTATGTAAGATAACTTGAAACATTGATTTTGATTAATTTGGGACAATTTTCACTGTTGATTTCCTCTGAATCTTATCAAGGTATCATGTGTTTGACCCATGGCAATGTCTACCAAAGGTGCCCCAACAAAACCTTATCTTTTTAAAAACTTAAGTGAATTTAAATGATTTATTTACAGT